TTTTTTAGTACCAGCTACACGGATTATTTGAGCCCGTTACTGCCTGGGGGAAAAAACCTGTTATGGGTCCCACAGTGCAGGTTCTAATCCAGGTTGGCTGTTCCTTAAAAGCGGAGGTAATAGCAGCATGGCGCAGTTGGAAGCGCGCGGGGCCCATAATTTGTAACCCCGAGGTCACTTGATCGAAACAAGTTGCTGCTATGCACTTTTTGTTGCGCCACTGCGGGCAAACCCAAGTTGAGTCTCTAGGTATGTTTACTAACTGGAGGAGGAGGAGTGTAATATAATGGCGCGGTCCGGTTGACAGAATCAGACTCAGAGTACTCAGGCCTTAGGGTTAAAGAAATCCAGTACATCTCACAAAGGGTTAACCATGCATGGGACAACGCCCGATAACCCCAGTACATCCAAACGCTGTTGCAACCTTACCTGGTATACATAGTGGACAATTACTTGAAGGCTCAGTTGATTAATTCAATCCCGGCGTCAATATCGTTATTCCGAGTCTTCGATCAAATTCGAGCTACAGTATAGTATGTGAACTTTTCTGGCCGTGTATTATATGCTGCTCTGGATATATCCTAAACGGAAGTCTGCAGCCAGCATGCCACATGCGGTGATAGCGCATATTTTATTATATACTCAACATAGGTACCATGTCAGTCGCCGTCCATTTACCGCGTTACCACTTGCGTGTCCAATCGTACACAACAGAGACCATGGTTTTCGGAAAGGTAGGCTCCCACTGAACCTTTATCAAAATATGGATGGGCAATTGAACAATATCATCAGTGGACTTGAAGAATATTCGCGCACGCGATTCACATGAGACAAAAACCTCAACTTCTTGTAGGTCATGTCTGTGTGATAGCAGAGTCAAAGATTTCCTACACAGGCATCTGCAAAATTTAACTCATCGAAATTGTTAAAGGATAGGAAGAAATCATTGATCAACTTATAGGATGAGTACACTTACGTGCCCAGGATATTAGATATTCCCATGGAATCAGAGGAAGACGTTGCATTCCACACTTCATAGATTGAGGCAAAATCCCTTCAACGACCCAAAGAGCTATATCTGGCGAAAAAAAACACTCAGGTTACATATCATGCTTGCTATCAATCAACTTCACGCTGCCGACCTCCAGTGGGTTAGAAAAAGATATAAGACATTTGGGCAACGGAATTTAGTTGATGAGCAATAGCCTGGCTGAATCGCGGCCAGTGAACTATCTTTCATTTTCTATTGCTATATGCAAGCTATATGAACATCGTGTTGTTCAAACAGGATCCTGAGGCACGGAGAGATATTTCTAAGGCTGATACACAGTAAGTATGTCGAGGGCTTGTTGATCATCATAACAGGCCTCACATACATGTCACAGATCTGGACGCTGGGTCATAAGGATAACTCGTAAAATGTTGTCTTGCATTTCCAAATTAACCATCCACCCACACAAAGTCCAGAGGTTTGAATGAGGTCGATTCATCAGCGGCGAAAATCATATCTCTCAAGAGCAGAGCTAAGGAGACAGATGGTTAGCAGCGCCGAGCTCATCAGAATCGGCGAGGACCTCACAGACGGCGCCGCTTCAAACGCTGTACAACCTCTGGGGTTTGTATAAAGCAGACTGGGGATAAACAATCACCCCTAGCGGAATGATGAGGCCAGTGGGCCAACAGCAAAGAGAGATAAAGCCCTTGATACACGGCCAAGATATTCGCACTCAAAAAACTATGACCGATTGGTGACCCAGGCTAACCAGATTGTGTTTGGCCTAGTCGTTCCTGGACGAAATAGATTTCGCCGTCGGCCCCTTGATTATGCGAACAAAGCCATGGACATCATGGAGACCTTAAACGTGGAATCGCAAATCTCCAATGGAACAAAGTTACTTTCGCAGAGGGCACATGTGGATCTACTTAATCCTCTTCTATAGACTCTGTGCGCGCCTGAGAATATATTGCGTTTTGAGTGATGTATTGTGCTTAGTACATGAAGCACACACCTTGTTCTCTTCCAAACCTCCGAGTTCTGTGACAAGCCCGGAGAATGGATATTCACGCCGAATAGCAGGTGCATCTTGTTGCAGAACGTTTTTCGCTAGGAATCCGAATCCAACAAATAGAGATGCTGCGATAGCGAAGTGGAGGGTAGCGGTCGAAGGTGGTACGGGTGGGACGTCCGGGCCCCACATGGACAGAACCTCGTCCTCTTCATGTAACTGGCAGATCAAGACAGTTAGAATGGAAAAGTACAAGAAGAACGAAATGAAACAGACTGTATCCCCGAAATTACGCCTCAACAAGGGATCCTGCCAGCCAAGAGCTGGGAGATTCTGTCTCGAGGTGAAGGGAAGTTGGGGGTAGCCGTCGAGCTGGGGGTCGACCTCCTCCTTCGCACTCATGTTAATGGTACGGACATGCTTGGGGGCCGAACGGCGAGTCAGTGGTGCCGACGCCGCGGCTAGACGACGGAGAGCAAGGGTGGTAGTCATGAAAAGCGGTGAGCTCGGTATTGAAGTTAACGGTCGGATGGTCGCGGTGAGGAAATACCCGCACGTGTTGGAATGAAATTCGCACGGGGCCCTGTTCCTTGCCAAACCTCTCGGCCATCATGCGTCAAAAAATACGGATTCATGGCCATATATCCTCGGCGGCGCTACCGGTATTCTTCCAGTGGCCCTCGTCCTGCTTTCCTTTCAGCCCACAGGTCTCTTCGCAGACGCGCAATGGTTAACGGTGGACCCGTTCAGAAGAACGTCGAGGCCGCCCTTCTAGGCACCAAAGTCATCCGACGCATGCGTGGGGATGTGCCATATCCAGTTGAAGACACCGGGGCCTCTTCTTCCGCACAGTAAGTCGCGTCATAAGTCGCGCTTAATATCCTCAATCAAAATATTTCGCCTCGCTCGCCAGTGACATTTGGGATACCATGTTCTTCAGATCGGTTTGCCAGAGCCTCACGATGCACCAATTCAGCAAGCCTCCGGCAGTTGTCCTTGACTTGGGATGTGGGAGTGGCTACTGGGCAATCGAAGCGGCAAAGGAATGGCCTGTAAGTCATGTATCTTGGTGTATTTCTGCAGTGATTCATCGGTCGATGCAGAACACTACTATCGTGGGCTTTGACATCAGGAACGTTCAGCCACGTCTATTCGCTCTGAGAGCTTACGAGGACATCGCACACCGTGTCAAATGGGTGCATGGCAACCTGTATGGTGTTATCATCTCTTCCTATTACATGGAGTGACGCGCTTTCACTAGATTGGATGGCCTACCATTCTCAGCAGAGCACTTTGACTTCGTGCGAATAGTCAACATCGGTCTCGGTGTACCGGAAGATGAGGTACTCGTACTCCCTACTACTAATATGCAATGACTCACCAACAGCCATCCAGTGGCAGTTTGTGCTCGAGGTGTGTCTAGTGGACTAATGTACATGTTGTGGATCTCAAATTAGCCTGCCAGGAGGTCTCCAGAGTGATGAAACCTGGGGCTGCGCTCGAGGTACCTTTTGCTTTTCGCAACCCGTAATCCACCAATAACACGATCCCCAGGTGATTGAAGAGGATCAAATTTTCCCATGTGCCCAGGTTCCCCGACCATGGACCCGACCACGGCCATCAACAATCTCAGCAGACTTTCTCCCGTCCAACTCGAGTCTTTCAACCCTTTCAAGCACGCTCTCGGGAAAGAGTTCCACTACTTTAACATCCGATTCATGGAGCGCCACACTAGACGAAAAGTTTGACCTCCATTCACCTACGTCTACTTTGACCTTCGATTCCATCTCCCCGGCCTCTACAGGACGACCAACCAATCCGCAATTAATGAATAATGACACTAATCCATATTATACACCCCCCCGAGAGTCCATGTCGGACCCTAGCCATACTCCGGACCTCCGCGACCATTCAAAACTCAAAGCTGCGTGGGACGCAATGCTTTCTTCGCGGTTCATCGCCTCAAACGCCCTCTCCGTGCTTCCCTTTTACCTCTCGACTTACTTTGATGAAATTCAATCACACCCACCACTGAAAGTTATCCTTCCGTCTAACTCTGGCGTCGATATAACTTCTCGATCTTCTTTAGATTCGTTCTTCGGCACTTCTACTATTGGAGAATCTGTCTCTTCTACCCCTCTGCGCCCTAGCTTGTCCAGAAGAACTTCTCGATCAGATACTGCTCGACCTGTTGTTAAAGCCGAGTGTCCATATCGCACGCTCTGGGCAAACATGCATCTGGCTAGCACAGTCCACAAGGTGACCAGCTGCAAGGAGGCAATATGGCGAGAGTACGAAAAGCTCTACGATTCTGAAGAGCCTCCGGTGGTACGCACCTCGCGTCCCAACAACATGCACGTTACGATAACGAAATCCTCAATACGTGAATCCTTTGACAACGAATGGGCGTCATGGCAGAAGTAAGTCCCCTTCTCTCGTGGCCCTTCCTTTCTACAGCATATTTACTTACTTGCGAAAAGTGATATGGCCGACCGCATTGGGATGCGTAGTGAGTTGACGTCTCAGCTTGGCTGGGCCGAAAAGCCAGGAGACCGCCCTGACTGGCGCGTGTGGCGGTCCAAAGTCCAATTCCACACTAATGCCAGCCGCTCCTTCGATTCGGTGCTCACATCGACGTCGGCGACCGAACGACGTGATATCTGCCGCTCACTCTGTGGCTGGGTAGGCTGGAAGCCATAGCAATCCCAGCATGATATTAGATCTTATCTCATGGGACTCTTTACACGTCTCTCCTGGGAGCATGATTATCTGTTTGCTATAGTTGTATCTGCATTATTTAATCTATTGGTACGAACGCTGTCGCTTGTTTTACTTAAACTCATTTTCGACGCTATTTTGCAAGTCCTTTGCCTCAACGGTGAAGAACAAGTTCTCAGTACCCCAAAGAGCTAGTCATAAATTCATATGTTCGCATTGAAAGGTTAATACATGTAGAATGTAGAACAAAGCAACAAACGTCAAAATAGTTCAAAGTTATGCAGATGATTGGCTTGCGAGCTCAATACTTTCCACAGCAGTTCGCCCTTTATTTCGCCTCCAATTCCACCAGCTGGTTCGCGAAGTGTTCCCGTCAATCTGGTTCCGTGATAGGGGCTCGCTATACGGAGAGCCGTCGATACTCCGCGCGTTACGGACGAGGGATGCCGAATCATGCTCCTCCAGCGTCGAGACAGA